TGGGAAACCCTCCACCCCATTCCCACACAATAGCAATTATATTTTTGTGACATTGATTAAAAAAACATATAGATTGGAGGACCCCACATATTCCAGAGTCTGGATGAGGTAGGATGGGGGTGGATAGGTAGGAGATGTGGTCCACAGCCCACAGCGTATGAGTGACTATCTCAAGGAAAGTCTGTATGTGGGAATGGACTGAGGCTGTCAGACAGGTTGGGGAGATCAGACTGAGCCGGGCTGGTTCCCTACTCTCCAGCTCCTTGCTCTGGAAGCCTTCTTCCTAACCCTTAGGTTCAGGGCCCAGTTGGTTGTTGGGTGACCCCTGCCTGACTGGTTCTGCTGGTGAACTCTCAAGGACCACCTCTGTCCCCCAGACCTTTCCAAGCAGCATTGCTTCCATTTCCTTTTTTTTTTTTTCCATTCATCTAAGCAAAAAAGGAATCTTCAGATAGTGCAAAGGTTAAGCAATTAGACTACTAACCAAAAGGTTGGCAGATTGTACCCACCCAGAGGAGCCTCGGAAGACAGTCCTGGAGATCTGCTTCAAAAGGTCACAGCCTTGAAAACCTATGGAGCAGTTCTACTCTGCACACACGGGGTCACCATCAGCTGGAATTGACTTGGCAACTAACAACAACAGCAAGCAAGCAAGCAAACACACACTGGAGGGAGGAGACAAGACTGCCTAGTCGAAGTCTGAATTGTAGATAATTTTGAAAGCAGTGCAGGCCTAGTTGTTTGGGCCACTGGCAGGGTCTTGGGACCAACAGCGTTATCATGAGGCACCTAAACGAATGGCTTGTGACCATCCTGTTGATTTATACCGTTATTTTCTGCGTGGAGGTGCTGTGGGAAATGTGTGCAGCCTTCTTTTTTTATCCCCCTGGTCCATCTCTCCTCCAGCAGTCGTTCTTTACCTTGCTTACACTGTCTTCACACAGCCAGCAACACTCCTGTGTCTGATGAACATGTAGCAAGTGCCTGACTTCTTGGAGCCCCCGTCCAGTTGGGGAGGTGGACGGTCACAGCACTCCGACAGTGTGATAAATGCTGAGATGGAGATTCACGATGAGTGCTGCTGGGAGTGCCTGAAGCAGGGGTTACTCACCTCGGCTGGGGGAGGGGCAAAGGAAGGCTCCCCTCGGTGAGAAGTCATGGTTTAGCCTCAAGATGAATTTGGTTTAGAATCTATGCAAATGCTTGGAGGCAAGATTTATAATCCTACCCAGTTGATAAAGCTTGGAGTCCCTGGGTGGTGCAAACAGTTAATGTGCTCAGCTGCTAACTGAAAGGTTGGAGATTCGAGTCTACTCAGAGTTGCCTTCGAAGAAAGGCCTGGCGATCTATTTCCAAAAAATCAGCCATTGAAAACTCTGTGGAGCATGGTTCTACTCTGACACATTTGTTGTTGCCACGAGTTGGAACTGACTCCATAGCAACTGGCTATAAGGCTCACCTTCCGATTATTTCAGTCCACAGAGATCTATGTGTCCTTTGAGCTCTTGCAACCCCGAGAACCCAAATCGCACTCTCCAGGGTCTGATTACAACCTTGGGAATCCAAGGGTCAAAACACCAGCATAATCTGTCACTTTGCAAGATTCAGTAAACATATGTTGATGAGTGCGCCAAGACCTTCCATGAGGTTGAGGACAGAGGCCAGCAGCCCAGATGGCTGTGGCTGGGCTGATTTTGTGGGTGAGATCACCTGGCTCTTCACTGTGTGACACTGGGCAAGCCCTGTCCCTCGGCGAGTCTGTGTCTTCATCTGTACATTGGTATGTGGGGAAGGGGCTAGACTAAATAATCTCTGAGGGTCCTGGCAGGTCTTGGGCTGAGCCAGTAACTATTCTTGAAGAAGTGAATTTTGTCTTGCCCCAATTGCTGAGTGTGACCTAGAGTTGGGATTTGGAGCCTAGTCAGTATTTGAAGACTCCAGGTTCTAATTCCTTATCTGCTGAGGGTCCTTGTTACCTATGCCCAATCCAGACGCGTAACTTGGTGTTATGAATTGAATTGCTTCCACCAGAAATGTGTGTTAACTTGGCTAGGCCATGATTCCCAGTATTGTGTGGCTGTCCTTCATTTTGTGAGCTGATCATTTATCCCATGTGTTGTAAATCCTAACCTCTATGATGTTAATGAGGCAGGATTAGAGGCAGTTATGTTATTGAGGCAGGATGCAATTGACAGGATTAGGTTGTATCTTGACTCAATCTCTTTTGAGATATAAAAGAGAGAAGCGAGCAGAGACAGAGGGAGACCTCATGCCACCAAGAATGAAGAACCAGGAGGGGAGGGTGTCCTTTGGACCTGGGGTCCCTGTGCTGAGAAGCTCCTAGACCAGGGGAAGACTGATGATAAAGACCTTCCCCCAGAGCTGACAGAAAGCCATCCCCTGGAGGTGGCACCTTGAATTTGGACTTCCAGCCTCCTAGACTGTGAGAGAATAAATTTCTCTTTGTTAAAACCATCCACTTGTGGTATTTCTGTTATAGCAGCACTAGATAACTAAGACACTAGAGTATGGCAGGTATGGCAGATATTGCACCAGCTGTGGGTGCGTGGCACCACTAAGCACTTTCTACTAACCTAATGTGGCCAGTGGTGTATCTACAGAAAATGGCGCCTATGGCAAGCACTGAAATTGTGCCCCTGTCCAACTATCTGTCACCCCTCTTTTAGATAAGTTTACCATAGTATCAGCTCAAAAATACAAGTCAAGCTCGTTAGTTAACACATTACCATGCTTGAGGAAGGACATTGGGCCATACCAGGTTAATAGAAACTGCTCAGTGGTGCCACATGCCCAGGGTGGTGCCATACCCTAGATACACCACTGGCCCGATCACTGCACTCTCTCTTCTCTGGTCAGCCCCTGAGCCCACTCCATTGGGGGCCAAGGGGCCAATGTGACAGCTCTATTGATTCCAAGCCTACCTCCAGGGCAGATGTCCAGCACCAAGAAGCTGGGAACCCTGTTTTTTGAAGCTCCTTAGTGGAGGCAGGAACCCAAACGTCAATGGAGGGGGGAGGGTATCTCTTCCTTCCTGAGTTCTCTGGGACATTTTTTATTTTACAGTTTGAATTTTTCTTTTTAGTTGTGCCTTAGGTGAAAGTTTACAGAGCAAATTAGTTTCTCATTAAATAGTTAATACACAAATTGTTTTCTGACATTCGTTGCCAACCCTGCAATGTGTCAACATTCTCCCCTTCTCCACCCTGGGTCCCCTGTTTTCATTCATCCAGTTTTCCTGTCCCTCCTGCCTTCTTGTCTTTGATTTTGGGCTGGTGTGCCCATTAGTCTCATATACGTGATTGAACTGTGAAGCATGTTGCTCACGTGTGTTATTGTTGGCCCTACAGACCTGTCTAATCTTTGGCTGAAGGGTGGACCTCAGGAGTGACTTCAGTACTGAGTTAGAAGGGTGTCCAGGGTCATACTCTTGGAGTTTCTCCAGTCTCTGTCAGACCAGCAAGCTTAGTCTTTTTTTTTTTTGGTGAATTTGAATTTTGTTCTACATTTTTCTCCCACTCTGTCTGGGACCCTCTATTGTGATCCCTACCAGAGCAGTTGGTGGTGGTAACCGGGCACCATCTAGTTATTGTGCTTAGTTTGGTGGATGTTGTGGTAGGTGTGGTCCATTAGTCCTCTGGACTAATCTTTACCTTGTGTCTTTGGTTTTCTTCATTCTCCTTTGCTCCAGCTAGGATGGGACCAATAGATGTATCTAAGATGGCTGCTCACAGGCTTTTAAGATCCCTGATGCTACTCAGCACAGTCAGATGTAGAACATTTTCTTTATCAACTATGTTATGCCAATTGAGCTAGATGTCCCCAAGACCATGGTCCCCAGTCCTCAGCTTAGCAGCTTATTCCCTCAGGGCGTTTGGATATGTCTGTGCAGCTTCTATGACTTTGCCTTCATCAAGTTGTGCTAACTTCCCCGTCATTGTGTACTGTCTTACCCTTCAACAAAAAAACAAAAACCTGTTGCCGTTGATTCTGATTCATAGCGACCCTACAGGACAGAGTAGAAATGCCCCAGAGGGTTTCCAAGGAGCAGCTACTCATCTGCTATCTAGCGTTTTTCCCTCCCTACCTCTCCCCTCCCTCATAACCATCAAAGATTGTTTCTTTCTGTGTTAAACCTTTTCATGAGTTTTTATAATAGTGGTTTCATATAGTATTTGTCCTTTTGTGATTGACTTATTTCACTCAGCATAATGCCTTCCAGATTCATCCATGTTACGAGATGTTCCGCGAATTCATCATTGTTCTTTATCATTGCGTAGTATTCCATTGTGTGTATGTATCATAGTTTATCCATTCATCTGTTGATGGGGACTTAGGTTGTTTCCATCTTTTTGTTATTGTGAATAAAGCTGCAGTGAACATGGGTATGCATATGTCTATTCATGTGACGGCTCTTATTTATCTAGGATATATTTCTAGGAGTGGGATAGCTGGATCGTATAGTATTTCTATTTCTAGCTTTTTAAGGAAGCACCATATCGTTTTCCAAAATGGTTGTACTATTTTGCATTCCTACCAGCAGTGCATAAGAATTCCAATCTCCCTCTGGGACATTTTTGAGATGGTCTGGCTCTTAGGGCAGAGGGTCCTGACTGTCCAAAGGTGACTGAGGCTACTTCCTGGTGTGATGCAGGCCCCTCCTCTCATTCACACTCACTTGTGGGCTGACTGGAGACGACCTTCCCCTGGTCAGCCACATCAGCTACTCAATTTTGAAAGGCCTCCTGTGCTCAGCTTCCTTTCCGAGAACTGGTTGGTTTATGGTAATGCCGCCAGGCACTTCAGAAACTTTTGCTTTCACTAGTGAGCAAGTCTCAGAGTCCTGTCTCTCAATGTGCCTCCGTAACTGTGGGGCTGGCCTAACTCTGCCCAGCCTACTAGCTGCCTAGCACCCTGGATGAGTAGATTGATGTCACTTCTGGCCCAGGCATAGGCTGAACTTCAGGCTTCTAGGGAAGTTGATGTGTGAGGCTCCCCCACCTCTGTCAGCTGCCCTGGAACCCCTGCCTGAGCTGCTGCCTCCAGACTGTGACTTCTTCAACCTTACCCTGAAAAGCAGGCCCAGTCTTGGGTGGGGAGTAGAGGCAGGCTGCCCTGGGCATGGTGGGGCTGGTGGGCAAGATACCCCATCAAGCTGTCTTCCTGATGTGGGCCTATGTCTCCCTAGCAACCAACAAACGGATGGAAAGATGGCTTCTCTGAAGAGCCCCGTGGCCTCCACAGAGAAACTAGATATGGTTCAGAAGCACCCAGACTACAGGTGAGGTCCCCTCCAGTCAGATACACATAAAGATTGGTGGTTGGGAAGCCTTCAGGAGGTGACCTGTCAGAAAGGGGACCGAAAGTCTGGCTCAGGGGTCAGGGCCCCTCAGCAGGTCTGTCAGACAAGATCAGGTGCGTTTAGGGTGGTATGGCTGTGAACTGCGCAGGTCTGTTAGGTCAGGCACAGGCTGTCTCGGGGCCTCTTCTCCCACCCCTCAGGGCTGTCTCAGCGCACTGGGACCTAGCAGAATCCAGGCTTATCAGGTTACAGCCTCCTCCCTGCCCACCTGTGCTTGAGCCAGCCCCCTCCTTCAGGTCAGGTGCATGTGCAGAGCTCCTCAGTGCAGAGCTCCAGGCCACAGGGAGGGGGCTGCAAGGAGGGCAGTCCTGCAAGGATCATGGCCCATGGCCAGGCTCGGGAGCCATGAGTCTGACACCTCCATCCCATCCATTCCCCATCCTTGTCCCCATTCCTGTGCCTCCTGCTCCTTTATTCTTTGGCTTGCTCCACGGCTTACTGCTTGGCCAGAGAAATGGGAGAAGGTCTTTGACACCCAGGGGAGGGCAGTCCCTAAGCGTCTCCAGGAGGCTGAGGCTCAGGCTGAGCATACCTCCTGGGAGGACGCTGCTCGCAGGGACCCGAGTGCCCTTCTCAGGGATGAGCTGCCTGCTCCCTGTGCCTGGCACTCGGCTGTGGCCTCTGGATGAGGGCGCTTGGCTCCAATCTCTGCCTCAAGCTTCTGGCTCAAAGCCAGGGCACAACTGGCTCTGAGGACACATGGGAAGGACTCGAAAGTTCCTTGTCCCTGGAATGGAATGTCTCCTTTGCAGCTTGCGCTGGCCGGAAGGACTGAAGGGCGAAGAGATAAAGAAGTGCAGCCGAGAAGGGGTAAGTATGTGAAGGCCAACTTCTCACTGCCCGACAGAGGGGCCCTGGGCTGCCTAAACTCAGTGACTGTTGGCTCCTTGGTCACCAGGCTTGTCACCAGGCAACAAAGAGCCTCACAGAGACCTGAGTGGGTGTCCCCTCCCGGACAGGAGGTGTGCATCCCCCTCCAGTCACAGGCTACATGTCATGACCCAGTGTCACCAGGAGATAAGCTGTGCTTGGAACTCAGCCCTCCACACCCCCTGGCTGCTTCATGCTAAGTCCCTGGGGGGGCCCTTGTGGCATTATTTCCTGGTGGTGTGATCTCCCAGAGTTGCTAAGACCCAGCCCGTGTGTTTACAGACACTACAGAGTAAATACAACCAGCAGTACCACAAGCTGTTTAAGGACATCCCCTTGGAAGAGGTGGTTCTCAAAGGTGAGGCGTCTCCCTCGTGTGGCTGGGTAGGCCCCCAGAGTGCCTGGGGCCCAGATCCTCTCCTCTGGTGTGTCCAAAGCACAACTTAGATTGGGGAACTGGTTGCCCTTTGGATGTGGTTGGTTCTTTTTTCTTCAGAAGTGTGAGAAGACTGGGCTGGTTTGGGAAATGAAGTTGAATTTATGAACTCAGGGCTTCCGAATCGTAACTTTTGTTCTGCTCTTATGAATGATGGTTTTTCCTGCTCAGGCTCTGGCAGAGCCTGGGGAACACATACGTGATCAAGGCCCTCTCCTCAGGGCAGGGCAAGGCAAAGGGTTCTGCCTGAGGTAGGGTGAATCCCGGCTTGGGGGCTAGGCAAGAACCTGTGCAGACCCTTTGGGGCATGAGTGGAGAAAGAGGAAACTTCTAGCTCTCTGGTGGGGTGAGGTGGGTGGGGCAGTCAGGATTCTCAGGAGAAGGGCTCGTGAGGTGCTGGGGGAGTGGATTATTTGGGGCCTGGGATTGGGAAGGGGGAGTCTGGCAAGGACAGGTCCTGAAGCTGGACTGTGGACTCCAGCATGTGAGAAGTCAGGGCCTGGGGCATCCTGGGTTGAACTTGCTCAGCAGCCTTCTCTCCTCTGACTTCCCAGTGTGCTCCTGTGCCCTCCAGAGGGACCTCCTTCTCCAAGGCCGGCTCTACATCTCCCCGAACTGGCTCTGCTTCCATGCCAGCCTCTTTGGCAAGGATATCAAGGTAGTAATGAGTGGTAAGGGCTGCCATGGCCCAGTGAGGCCAGAGCCCCCTGCCCTGAGGGTGCATCTCAAGTCCTACCTGTCCCTCTGCATGCTGGGCACCTGCTGAAGCCTCTCACTGGTTGGATGAGCAGCTGCAAGGCTTCCCACTCGGTGTCCAGGGAAGCAGCCCTGCTCCTTCCAAACAGGGGGCCTCATCTGGACCTCACATCTGACCTGAGCTGGCCTGTTCACAACCAAATTATTATGCCTGTAGGTGTCTCAGAAATGCCTTCAGAATCAGAGTGGGATGTCATATAACTGTAGCCAAAAGGTAGCTCAAGGAAGTCTATTGTTAGAATGTGGTATTCACCAGAGCAACTGTCCTTGGCCTCCTGGATAACAAAGGTTAAACTGAGAGCCCAGAGCAGCATGTGCTGCCAGGGCTGGGCTGGGGATAATTGGAAGGGGAGCCTGGATGAGGTGGAAGGTTTGCATACTCCCCCACATGGGACCAGGCTTCTCCATAGTGTCCATGTTTGGCTCACTGCCAGCTGTGGCTGGGGCCCCATGTAGGGAGTGGAAGGACCATGTCCTTGGGGCACGTCTTGACAGGAGCATCCCTGTCCCCCTTCAGGTGGTCATTCCTGTGGTATCCGTGCAAATGATCAAAAAACACAAGATGGCACGACTCCTTCCCAATGGACTGGCCATCACCACCAACACCAGCCAGAAGGTGAGCGAGTCCCTGGGCCACAGCTCCCGTCAGTCTCCACACCCAGCCCCACGAGTCCCATAGCTTGACTCTGGCACACCCAGGCCTTCACGTCTCCCCACTCTGCAGCTTTCCAGTGGGTGTTTCGGGCACTGTAAGACACTGGGACAGAGGTTCCTAGGCAGGGGGTCCCTTTGACCTGTCACTGACCCATGGGGCGGTGGGGGGGGGGCTGCTGGCACAGCAGGGGTCTCATCTTACCCCACCCCTTTCTGTTTTCTTTGTCCCAGTATGTGTTTGTATCACTGCTCTCCCGGGATAGTGTATATGACCTGCTGAGGAGGGTCTGCACCCATCTACAGGTATGGAGCTCAGGGGCAGGAGTTGGGCCAGGTGGGCTGCTCAGGCCTGGGCTCAGGTCTTGGGTCAAGGCTATTGGGGGAAACTGGCCCCCCATTTCTCCAGAACAGGGGGCAGGGCAGGGAGAGGGGAGTAAAGGCTCAGCTCAGTGTCCTGGGGCAGTACTTGGACTGTGTGTCTGTGCATAAGCATGTCTCTGAGTCCAGTGGGTCCTTGTGTATCCTCACTGGCATGTCCCCACCTGTGCTTCCTCAAAGCACAGACAGACAAGAGCATGTGACTGCTTCCCAGTGTGCCCTGCAACTCCCTCTGGCCTATGGTGAGGAAGAGGAGGAGGGAGGGAGAAGCTGCATGGGAAGACTCCCCTGGATCTGCTGCTCTGCTTCAGCATAAAATTCTGGGAACGAAGCTTCATCTGACACAAAAAGTGGCTTAGTTGGAGGCAAAGCTATCTCGGGAAGTGCTAACTCCTCCCCATGCCAGATGGACAAGTGACCCCTGTTCTCCTTCCTCCTCAGCCTTCCAGCAAGAAGAGTCTGAGTGTGAGAGAGTTTCCAGAGGAACCTGACTGCGAGTCTCTGGTGAGAGCTGAGGCTCAGAGCAAGGGCTGCTGGCCTGAGATCACCCGGGGCTCAGTGGCTTTGGGGCTCCCAGGCAGGAGCTCCCAATGTAGAACTGGAGCGCCAGGCTTGGGGGCCCATGGCCATGCTGTGCCAGGGGGTCCCCTAGACCCACCGTACTCCACACAATGCAGAGCTCCTAGGTCCTGGGCAGATTTCCTGCCTTTCTGAGCAGAATGGATGTCCAACCCCAGGAACAATGCCCAGGGTGGATCCCACACCTGTACAGACACAGGACCAGTGAGCCATCTTCTTTCCTGTGGCTGAGTCGGGAGGGCCTTTGAGAGGATACAGATGTCCCTGGGGAAAAACTCACAGGCTATCACTGTGGAACCCAGACAGACTAACTCCAGGTTTGCCGAGGTCCCAGGGACCTCCTTTGGTGGCTGGGGCCCTAGGTAGGCAGAGTTGAGCTTCCAGAGCAGGGAGTGTAGGGGTGGAAATGACCTGAGGGTGTTTGAAGCCTGCTTCAGTAACTATTGAGCATTTAGCCAAGCACACAATATGCACAACACCATGCAGGGAGCAGAAGGTGGTGTTCTCATTTTGTTGATAGCGACCCGAAGGCCCCCTGCCAAGGTCAGTCACAAGCTTAGGGTTTGAGCCAGGATTAGAAGGAACCATGACATAATCCATCTAAGACATATTGTGCCCTGCTTTCTTGACTTGGCTGATTCGAGCATTACCTGAGTTGGCTCATGTCTAAAATATCACTGTGGTTCCCACTAGCAGTCTTCAAAAAGCGTTGTTTCCTGGGACCACGGTAAGGGAGGTGAGCGTGAAAGAAGCGTTAAACCAGGGGTTGCAGGGAAGGGGGAGGCCCTGACCCAGCCCACAGTTCGAGTAGGGCCTTCCTTGAGCTCTGCCCAGACTTCTGGGTAGAGTGAGGCACTGGTTGGTATCACTCTAATTAACACCAACCACATTTCCATGCGGACCTTCAGCTTCTTATTTAGATCTTGAGAACAGCTGCAAGTGAACTCACTCTTACTCGCACGTCCCCCGCCCAGGTGGCAAGAGGAGAGCTAGTGTGAGTGGCAGGCAGGACATGTGTGGGGCTGAAGGGAAGCTCAGTGCTCCTTGGTCAGGACCCTGCTCCTTGCTTCTGGTAGGAGGGCGGGAGGGGAGTGAGTTGGCAGAGTGGCTGGTCATAGCAAAGGAGCAGACAGGAGAGACGTGTGGTTGCTACAGCAATGGTTCCCTGTTCCTGATACCTGCTTCCACCCCTGGCGAGGCATCCACATCAGTAATTTCTAAAGACAGCTGTGATAAACCTGGTACAAGCCCCTTACGGCATGTAAGATCCTAAGGGCCATGGTGAGACAGCTTCTCCCACCTTCTCTGCAGGAAGTCCTCATCCCCGAGATGAAGTGGAGAAAAGTGTGCCCTGCCTCCAGGTCCCTGTCCCTCCCAGAAAACATCCCTTGCATTCCTCAGGCATCCATGGGCTCCACGGACAGCCTCTTCCCCTCCAGGAAGCCTTCAGGGTCTGGTGAGTTCAGGGGGGCTTCTCCCTGGCAAGGAGTCCCTGGGTGGTATAAATGGTTAAATGTGTAACTATTACCTAGAAGGTTGGCAGTTGAAACCCACCCAGAGGCATCCTGGAAGAAAGGCCTGGCAATCTCCTTCTGAAAGGTGACAGCCTTGCAAACCCTATGGAGCAGTTTTACTCTGTAACACATGGGGTTGCCATGAGCTGGAATCCACTTGGACGGCAACTAGTTTGGTTTTGGTTGTCCATGGCAACGGCTTGCAAAGGCTAGGCTTTCCCTTCTCCCTCATCACAGCCAGCAGAGCTTCTGAGAGCCGTTTCTTTCTGCAAATCCATCAGGGAAAGTCAGGAGCCCAAGCTGGCCCAGGCAGCTGCAGGGAACGAGGGGAGGCTGACGTGTCCCTGGCTGGGCTGGGGTCCTCCCTGCCCCAGCAGGATGCCTAACTGCTCTCCCATTGCAGAGGATGCCGTCTGTGAGAAGGACACCGTCTGTGAGGAGGACACGCTGGAGGAGGAGCCCGAGAGCGACAGGGAGCTGAGGCTCTGGGATTATCGGCTCCTTAAAGTCTTCTTCGTGCTGTAGGTGACGACACTGGGGAAGAGGGCAGAGCCACCTGGGTGTCTAGGTGTAGGGGGCAGGGGTCTTGGTTTGTGGGGTCGCCATTATCCAGAGCCAGGGGAAGGTTCTGAGTCATCTACAACAAAAAGCAGATTTGGGAACCAGCTGTAGGATTCTGTACACTAAGCTCCAGCAACCACTTAAATGAAAAAAATTCATCTTGCTCCTTGTGGTGACGAGGCTGCTCGGCAGGCCCTTCTGTAGCAAGAGAAGTCTCTCCAGTTTCTGTTCTTGAAACCCTGTAATCTGGGGTTAAGTCTGTGCAGGGGAAAGGGCAGAATATACAACTGTTGAGAAAAGGAGAAGCTGCTGCACATGGTGGGGGAGGGCTGGGCTCTTTGACAGTTTGTGCTAGAATTCAGATTTACTTTGTGTGACATCTAGACCAATTCAGAGCCCTGGGCTTCAACTGCTGCCTTTTGGCCTCTGCTGTGATTTCATTTTCCTTAATCTCTTAGTCAAATGTCAAATCCTATGTGTATTTTTCGAGGGGAAGGGCCTTTCCATGTGTTGGTTCTGGAGAAGTCATCGCTGCCCAGAGTGGTGAGGGGATGCAGCAGAATTGCAGAGGCCATCAGAGAGTTGAGGAGGAATAGTGACTGGGGGGAAGCATGGCCTACCCACTGCCCACCATTAGGGAAGTTTTTAGAACCCCTGACTTGTCTGTCCCTTCGCCTAAGGACCAGTAGAGTGTGAGCATGGTGGGATGTTTTGTGAACAGCCAACCCAATTTCACCTCACCTAGCTTCACCACCTTCCTCTGGCCCTGCTGGCTGGGTTTTGACTGTTAACCTCAGCACCTGCTGGGGTAATCTGCTTGTGAACTCAGGGGGTGATCTTAGTGGCCTCTCAGAGGAGGCGCAGGACCAAGGTGGCTGGTCAGAGGGAAGGTGAGATGACAGCTTTGGCCAGAGCCCCCTCCAGGGCACAGCAGAAGGGTCCAGAACTCCTGCTGGGCTTCGAGGACACCTCCACTGGGCCTAGTCTCACAGCTCTCACGAGGCCTCTGGGAAGAAAGATGCCCAGGTCTGAGCAGGGCTGTAGGGAGATGGGTTCTTTAATTCCTCCAACTGCAGGAATAGCTTAGTCCCCACTCCTGTTTCTGGTGAGTCTCTAAAAATGCCTTTTCTCTAGAAGAGAGATTCAACTTCTTGCCTATCTTCCTCCAGGATTTGCTTCCTGGTCATGTCCTCATCCTACCTGGCCTTCCGCATCTCCCGGCTGGAACAGCAGTTGTGCTCCCTGAACTGGAATGGCCCAGTCCCTGGGTACAGGTGAGGCCCTTTATCTTCCTAACGCTTCCGGAATCGAGGGTGAGGACGGGAGCCAAAGTCTAAGGCCAGGCTACCTGTTACCCCAGCTGGACTTGGCCCCCTCTGGCTAAGCTGGCTTGATGGTCCAGAGCAAGGTTGGGCTGTGTGTGCAGGGTACACAGATCCCACCCCTCTCCCTTGTCGAGGGGAAGGATCCACTGACCCTTAGGCCCTTGTTTACCTTCTGGGCCTTTCCCCTGATCTGGGCATTTCTCCTGTGTGCAGGTAACAGCCACCTGGCCTTTGTTCCCACTCCTACTCCAAGAGGAACTCCCTGGGTGCTAAGGCTCCACCAATGATCCCCTTGGTTTATGCTGCAGCTGTGCTGAGACTCAGAATGAAGGAACAGATTCCAGATCCCTTCTCCTTCTCCTCCCAGCTCTCCTCTCTCCTCCAATGAGTGATCTGAAGTACCTGTTTACAAAGTAACCAGCTCCTAGAATATTTGGACTCAAAGAAAAAGCTAGATTTTGGAACCAGCTGTGGGATTCTGTACGCTAAGCTTCAGCAACCACTTAAATGGAAAAAAAAAAAAAAAATTCAACTTGCTCCTTCGAAACAGTTCTGGCACAGGAAGATCACCAGGGCACCCCAAGGGACAAAGGCCATGCTCTGATACTAGGAATGTGGCTCGCTGACTGTCACATGGCTCGCTCCAGTGGAGGGTCAAAGGCTAGAGCACAAACTAGCAGAGTGGGCTCTGGTCCCTCCCACGTGCTGGGCTCTCACTTTGGCCCCCTTGCAGGGAGCCAGGCACTTATCAGGCCCCAAGAGTAGAGGCCCACCAGGGCTGACTGGAGGGAAGTGGGAGGCAAGCTATGAATGGGAGAGGAGGGCTTGTGGCCAGGATTACAGCAAGAGATGACTTTTCATGCTCTGTGCTGAAGCTCTGTGCTGGCTCCTCAGGAGGAGGCTGGCCGAACCTGCGGACAGTAGCCATAGCAGGGGATAGTGGCAGGGGCTGGGAAGAACAGGAGGTTCTAGAACTCTGTGCCCTCAGCCACCACTTCCTGGGAGACAGGTGGAACAGGGCCTTTGATCACTGTGGCCACAGACCTGGCACTGGGTGTTCCCCTGCTGTGCACAAACATTTCCAAGGTACCCCAGGCCCTGGAAGTAGGGGATGGGAAGGGTGGACTGGGTGGGGGCCTCGACTTTTTGTACTCCCTGCCTGACTGCCTGGATCTCAGGCATGGCCAATAGCAGCCTGTTGGGGAAGCCTGGCTGGGCAGCTGGGCGTGATGGTGTTGGGTCACTATGGGGCAGAGCTCTCTCGTCACCTGTAGTCGGTGTGCTGCAGGCTGTACAGGAGGGGCCTCCACTGCATAGGCTTTGTTCTCCACAGATAAGTTGGATGTGTCCAAGGTGGGCCTGGTACAGTGTAGGGAGCAGGCCAAGGGGGTTGTGTGTGATACCCTTGGGGACAAGAGAGGTGGGGATCAGAACCGTGGACACAGTGGTAGCTTTGACTTGGAGAGGCCTCTGTCAAAGCCTTCTCTATTCTAAAAAGCTTCTTTGTGCCCCAGAACCTTGGCCTCTCCCTGGACTCCATCTGCCAAGATACTGCCTTTGGAGGTTTAGGAAGGGCCTTAGTGAGGAGGCCCAGAGGAATTAGGGAAAGTCACTGGTGGTAAAGAAGGTGGTCAGAAATAGCCACTGTTTTTCCCCCATTCAGACACCTGAGAGGTTAATCAGGGGAGAAATCCAGGTGGAAATTATTTCAGAGCTGTGATAGTGTGTCTTCTTTATGACAAACCCAAATGAGGATTGGAGGGACTGATAGTAGGTAACAACTCTTGGAGCTCAAACTAGAGGTCCCTCTGTCCTTTCCCCATCCCAGGTTCTAGGATTAAGCTTAGAGCCTTGTGGGTTGCTTGCACTAAATTTGTATGTCTCAGGTGAAACTCACTATCCTCATTCTCACCATAGTGACACACTGGATGGATGCCTATCCTTGGAGTCAGTCTTCTTCATCCTTCCTTTCCATTATATTTTCAGGGAAATACTCCTTCTTGCCCCAGCACCTCCCCTCCCTGGTCCTTGCTGAAGAGCAGGGAGAACAAATCTGTTCTCTGGGCCTTGCTAGGCTGAGCCAGAGGCCATGAGAGGTGCCAAGTCATGGGTGGCTGTGCCAATACGCTGGTGAACCTGGTCTCCAGCCATAGCCCCAGGCTCAGAAAGGGCAAGAGGCTTGCTGTAGCGCAGGTGGCTTCGGAGACCCTCTTGGGGCCCAGTGCTTTGAGTGGTGTGGGTATAGCTGTTGTAGCTTCTGTTGTGTTCATTTATAAACCCTATGTGTATTTATACAGACCTGCTTGCTTCTCTAATTCCCTGAATTTGGTTCAACCACCTTTGGGTTGTTCCACTATGGCATTAGCCTTCGAAAATGTTTTTAAATAAAAACAAAATCTGATTTTTCTACAGTCCTGTGGTATGTAGTAAAGTTCATTTTCATCCTCTGACTACTCACTGAAGGTATGCTTCCTGACATCATACTCAACACCAAGGAGAAGAATGGAGCCCAAGTCATTCCCAGAATCCTAAGTACTCTGCAAATCTCGGAACTTAGCTGAACCAACTCACACTTCAGGCAGATAGGGAAGGGTAGGGATGGCCTCAGCAAACCATCACAGCCTTCTGCCTCTGTTGGATGGATACTGGGACTGCTTCCCCATTTCTCCTGGGCAACTTCAAAGCAATATCCCTGGTTCAAATAGTACTGTGCTTCAGATTCGGGAATTAAAGTCTGGAACTCAGAGCCAGAAAACTCCCCTAGCCTTTCTATGATTTACAGTCTAGGTAAGGAGGTTAAAATCTGATTTGGGCCATACCACCTTTCTTTTTTCTTCAAAGGATGTCCCCCTCTAGTAGTGATTGATTCATTCAATAAATATTGAGCCCAGATTATAGGCCAGGTACTATGCTAGACCCTGGGGACACAGCAGTGAACATGTCAGGCAATGTCTACATCCCCGTGGAATTTACACTCCATGTAACAGGTACACATGTAAACAAGGTGATTGCAGGCTGTGATTAAGTTTCATGAAAGAAAGAAATAGATAAAAAAGGGAGACGGCGCTACGTATCTGTTGCTGCCGAGTTGATTCTAACTCATAGTGACCTATAGGACAGAGTAGAACTGCCCCGTAGGGTTCCCAAGGCTGTAATCTTTATGGGAGCAGACTGCCACATCTTTCTCCGGTGGAGTGGCTGGTGGGTTTGAACCACTGAACTTCTGGATAGCAGCTGAGTGCTTAACCACTGCACCACCAGGGCTCCTCCATGGCTCTAGATGGGGTGGTCAAAAAAGGTCTCCCAGGTGACATCTGAGCTGATGCCTAAAGGATATGGAGCCAGTCATGGGAGAAGCTGGGGAAAGAGCACTCCAGGCAGAGGGATCTGCAACCGCAAAGGCTCAAAGGCAGGAAAGAGCTTAGTCTCTGAGGAACAGAGAGATGGTCTGCGTGACTCTAGGACGCTAATCAAGTAGGACGGAGACATGAAAAGAGGCTGGAGATGTGGGCAGGAAAAGGGAGTTTAGATTTTATTATGATTGCTGGGTACTGCAGCTCAGATCAGAAAGTGTGGATGGGTGGTTGCTGAAACCAAGAGCTTTTCTTTGCTTAGAGGAAATAAGCACCAAGATATAATATGCAGGAAGATATGGCTGATAATCTACAGACTTCGAGAAACCAATACAATGAAAATAAAAATATATATATCCATTTCTCACTGTTCCCAGAAACTGGTCCATAGTGGCAGCATCATAGAGAGGGTACATATTCATATATTTATAATTTTTAAGTTGAAATGACCTAACTTTATAAGGGAAAAATAACTGCCTTAAAATTGGGGAAACAAGGAAATACATATTATGTTGGAGCCTCGGTTTTGCAACATGGGCCTTAGTCAGATGAGGAAGGGCGTGGGACCAGCAGGAGTTCTAGTGGAAAGGGCATCCAGGGCTGAGGGGAGCTCAGAGGGAATGTCATCCCACCACAGTCCTGAAGTAAGAAACTGCCCCCCACCATGCCCACATCCAGGCTCCAGGCCAACCAGCCACGGCCCTCTCACCTGGTTGCCATGGCATTAGGAAAGCTACCAAACGGGAGGAGGTATTGAAGCCTGTGCTCCTCTCTCCTAGCTGCTAGGCCACAGGATCAGGGAGTCCTAGGGCAGAGAAACTTTTCAGAGAAGGATTGCCCATTTGCCTCACAAATGGACTGAGACCAGATCCCTAGGCTCAAGCTGAGACTTGTTAGAAGGGAAACAAGCTTTATTCTTCTCTCTTTGAGGGGGAAGGGATGCCAACTGGCCCACTAGGCGGCAGCAAAGGTCCTGCAAGAACACCCGGAGCTGAACGGGTGAGGAACAGAGTTCATTCTCATTTCTCAGATAAAGGGCCTCCTGGGTGAAAAATGGGTCCAGGCCTCTTCCAAGTGCAGTGCACTCTGCTATCCCATATAAGAAGGGAATCTTCAGCAGGGTGACGTGGCCATTTTCCCCCAAAAAACAGCTTTCCCTTTTGGATCCTTCTCTTCTCAACTCCACCCCCACTCTTCTTTCATAGCATGGGGAAAGGCCTGAGGCGATTCTGAAAGGAAAATATTTACAAGGCTCTCCAGACCTTCTAAAGGTCAGGACTGTAGGAAGGCAAAACTGGCAGATGTGAGGAACAAATGTGTGTGTGGGGTGTGTGTGTGTAGTGGGGGCAAAGTCAAACAAAGGTGGGGAGCTCAGCTTCTCTCCCAACCAGGGCACAGAAATCCCAAGCTCTTCCCAGGGCTGACAGCCATTGGGACTAGCATCTCCTTTCACTCAGAACACTTGGCAATCACAGAAATCTGGCTCCTGCAAAACGCGATTTCAGGATGGCAACCATACTCCTCCCCCTCCCTCTTTTGTTTAGAAAGCTGGCGCTGGACCTGAGAGCAGAGAAGTTTAAAATTTAAAAATTACGTATGCTTTGCTGATTGACGGTGAGAGGGAGGGAGGCGATTAAGCCTCCAAAATGATAATCCAGAGAAACCTGAGTTCATCATCCCTCTGCGTGTCTGACCTCCATAGTCAAGGAGCACCTGGCGCCCGGCGGGGCCCTGCTTGCTGG